TTTAGTTAGTACCTGAAGACGTACAGACACCAGCACATTCCTATATCAAGGCAGTGTTATAATGAGCCGTTGATGGGACATTTGGAACATAGTGTGGGACAAGTTGGGACAGCAAATCTCTGGAACATCAAAAATGTACATCACTGTCCCAAGGTTTGTATACCCTCGAAAAGATTGTATTAAAGGCACGGCAGCGGCATTGGAATGAGAAAATAGTAGTGTCAAAATTTATTAATATGAATTTAAGGAGTGCGCGTGATCGATTTCCATGATTTTACCAGTAAAGTATGCAAGTAAACGAAATAAACTGAAAAATATATATTTTCCTTAAATACATTGAAAATGCATAGATTATTCGTAACGAGATTCTCAACTAAACAAATTCTTGGAGGTTATCCTAATAAAGTTGAAATTCCTCTATAGCTAATTCAGAACCATTTCTAGAACCTTGGAAAATTTTCAATATGCTTCCTTGAAGGATGACATTATTGATAAATTAAAAATTATTTCTCAATAATGTTTATTAAATAATATTTAAGATGACATAAAGACAGCAAGTTCATATTGTAGTTGAGAAGAAATTTTGTTTTTACGAGGATGATACATTAAACCAGATACTAGATCGAAATGATCCATATCCGTCGGCATTCTCAATCTCAGATCCTTTATGCATAATTGATTTAACACATAATTAAACCTTAAGGTAGATTCTAAGGGAACTGAAGTATCTTTAATACCATGAATAAATAATATTTTGGGAGGCATCAAACTTTTTAATTTATCAAGATTTATATCACTACTTTTCAAAGCATTTTCAAGAAGTATTGTAGGAGAATTCAAAGCAAAGTTCTCTTCTGTATCTCCCATTACTCGAGCCATTGCAGAAAGTTCCTCTAAACCACGCTTAGCCTCCCACAAGAAATGTCTTGATATGTCATATACACCAGCTAAACTATTAGGAAGAATAATAATTAATCATTTTAATTGATCAATTTAAAAATATTTTCGTTACATAATAATTATATGACTTACAGTATTAAACCATTAATTTTTGGTAATTCTAATTCTGGATCAATATCCACTAGTTTTGAATTGACCCGACCTTCTATAGTCTCGGATTTAATTATCGCATCTCGAATTGTAACGAGAGCAGCTAAATGGGCACCTGCGGAATGTCCCATGATATGGATCTTGTCGGGATCGCCACCGTATTTACTATAGAGCATATAATCATGTAATTTAATAATAATCATAAAGCATATATCAAAAAAAAAAAAAAAAAAAAAAAAAAATCATACAAACTTACTTGATATATTTACTTGTCCAAATTAAAGACAATTTTACATCGGAAATCATCGAATCAATCTTTCCCTAAAAAAAAATTAATTGTATTTTAAATAATTGTAAAGAAATAATCATAGCAATACATTTAGAGCGTCACATACGTTTGGATACAAAGTATAATTAGGAACAACTACTACATAACCCAACCTTCTTAGCCGGAGGGCTAAAAGAATGTACAAGAGTTTATCCCCTGTTTAAAAGATTTTAATGTTAATTTCTCAACAAAATACCTGGAATAAACATATGCTAAGGAAATCTTTTAATACCACTACTCCAACCTCCACCATAAAGAAACACGATCACTGGATGTGTAGCTTCAATATAAAGTTGTTGTTGTAATTTTGCGGTATCCGGAATGTAAAGGTCGAGACGATTTGTATTCAAATGGCTTCCATAATAAACATTTTCTCTTTAATCAAAAAAAATAAATTTGTTAATATACCGCTTGCTTTCAAATAATAATAATAATATTATAGTTTACTTTATAATTTGTCGACGCTTTCTCTTTAATACAAAAAATCTTTGATACCCATATTCTGCTAATAATGGCAAACATGTGATGACAGACCATAACGCTTGAAATAAAGCATAATTAACTTTTATTATGCGCATGGGATTAAAAGGAACTTTAAATTTCCGATCTGTTTGGGCTATAATTTTTTTTATATTCACAGACGATAAAACGATTAAAAAAAGAGAGAAAAAGAGAAAATTAATTAATCAAGATTTAATAAAGTTCAATCATAATTACCAAGGCTTAAATATGCCAACCATACAATACAATAAGCACTGACTAAAATTTGAATTTATAATTATTAGTTAATTGATATTTTTTCAAAAAGGTAGAGTGAGGCTTTCGAACTTACCAATGGCACACCCAATCACGATCGGGGAAAAAACCCACCCAAAGAAAGCAAAAGGAGGAATTAACATTAGCGGTAAGAAGCTTAAACCAAATAGACACGAACAAACAAGTACGATTATAAGTACGTATAGCATTATATAGTTTCGTAATTCTGACATTCCTAGCTTCTTGTAGTAAAAAATGTTTTCAAGGGGTGGGTGAATTGCTATAAGTTTAAACCTAATAAAGTAGGAAAGCCGATATGTTTAATATCTATCAGATATGAAAGTAGACTTTTTATTTTACAAAAAAAAAAACAATTTGCTTCTAATCGTCCATCATTTTGTATATTTGTTACTTTAAAAGATCAAAAAAGGGCTGCAGAATTATAGCTGATCCAAATTTTGTTTATATACTAATTTTTTTTTTTTTGGTGATTTAGGAAATTATTATGCCTCCAAAACAGACACCGTATCAATTCAAAAAAGGCCTTACTTATGTTAAACCGGTAAGTACATTTAATAATTGAATTGATGAAAAATTAACCGATATTGAATTTTTAAATTTTATGTTTTAGCTTCCAAGTTTCTTGCAAGAGTTAACCGGACAGACAAATAATTATGATGATGATGATGATGAAAGACCTCAAATTGCAAATGAAGATATAAATAATGAAGAACCTTCAGACGATGAGCTTAATGCGAAACGGGAAGAAGAAAGACCTCAAATTGTAGTATTAAAAGAAGGAAAACACATGAGCGAACAAGAAGTCAAAGTGTATCTGGACTCTAAGGCGAAATCTAAAGAAAAGGGTATATATATTTTTGTAACGAAAAATCTTTTTTTTTTTTTTTTTTCATATAGACGGCAATAATAAATCATTATTTAATGTTTTGATTAAAGAATCTTCGGAGGAGGATGATAAGGAAAGTGATGTAGATGATACTCCTATTATAGATGAGAAAACGGGGAAACTCCTTTTTCGCAAACCAAAAACAAAAAAAGCGTCTAAAAAAAGTAAATCAGAAACGATCGTTGGATCTCATTCAAAGGCAAAAAATGAATCGAATATGTCTATAAAATCAATTAATGAAGCCATTGATGTGATGAAACGAAAGCGAGGTGATAGCAAGGATGATACTGAAAAAGATACTAATTCAGAAAAGAAGGCTAAAACAACAAAAAAGAAATCGCGAAAAGCAAAAGTCCATTTGAGTTTTAACAATGATGAAATATGAATAATAACATACCCACCAATAAAAGCTCATCATTGTAGATCATAAATAAAACAAAATCATATTAATTTTGATATATTAAAAAATGCCTTTTTCTTTTGTACATTACCTTCAAAATAAACGCATTATACTCGCTTCTGGTTCCCAACGTCGACAAGAAATTTTATCAAAGTTGGTATGGAAAATTTTTATAATGTAATAAAATCTCAAGAAATAAAACATTTTTTTTTTTTTAATAAATTAATTTTAAATTAAGGGGTTGAGTTTCGATGTGGTGCCAAGTAAATTTCCTGAAAATTTGGATAAATCAAAATATACACCTTTTGAATATGTAATCGACAATGCCATCGAGAAGGGTTTAGAAGTTTATGGACGATTAGTGGTTCGTATATATAGTTCTTAATAGTATATATATATATATTTATTTATTTTATTTAAAATGTAAAATGTAATAATTATAAAAAGCAAGAAGATCAAGAGGTTGACATCGTGATTGCAGCTGATACGGTTGTTTCCATAGATGGTAATATTTTGGAAAAGCCAAAAGACACCGAAGATGCATTGCGAATTTTAAAGAAACTTAATGGGAGATCACACCAAGTTTACACGGGAATTGCTTTAATATATCCTTTATCAGAACCTGTTCATCCAGGTTATAATATTATTTCCTTTGTAGAAGAAACCGAAGTCATATTCAGAGAATGCAGTGAAGAAGATTTTAAGGTTTATATAAAAACCGGTGAACCGATGGATAAAGCGGGTGCTTATGGTTATCAAGGACTTGGTTCATTCTTTGTTGAAAAGATTAACGGGTATAAATTTTATATAATTCTTTATATTATTTGTAAATCTATAAATCTATATATACTCTATATATTCTATATTAAAGTACTTGTTTGCTTATGATAGGTGTTATTATAATGTAGTTGGACTTCCATCCAAAGTCTTTAAAGAATTAGAGAAATTAGTAAAGGATGAAGAAATTTGATAAATTTACCAAAGATCTTCAAAATAAATATTAAATGACCAATAAACAATATCCTTAATTTGCTCGAAATACAAAAAAAGAATTGAAATGATAACAACTGCAATTGAAGATATTATAATTGATTTTAAACTAGGGAAAGTTTTTGATGAATCAATAGAATTATTTGTCGCGTTTTTAATTTGTTTGCGTGACAAATCAATTTTTTTTGATAAATCAGCTTCCTTCGCACCATAATGTTTCGCCAATTGAAGTGCGGCAAATGCATCACCATATTTCTTTTGTTCAAGCAATATACTTCCTATTTTATGGATTAAAAAAAAAAAAAAAGATTTAATTTCATATGTCATAATGAAGAAATAAATAAAGATTGTTCCTTGCCTTTACGGTAATACCCTTTCGGCCATTTAGCGTTTATTCTGATACATTCTTCTGCATGAATTAAAGCATCATTTAATTCATTAAGTTTTAACAACACTTGAGCTTTATTTGAATGAACCAAGATATCATTAGGATCAAGTTCTAATGCTTTCGAGTAAATTTCTGAGCTTTCCTTGTACTTTTTTAGTTTATATAATTCATTCCCTTGTAATCTTAGCTTTTCCGATCTTTCATTATCCTTTTCAATGTCTTCATCTTCTTCATCGATTATCCCTTGAATGGCTTGGGGTTTTATTGTTTTTTTTTCTATTTCCAATCGTTTTTTTAATAATTTTTCTGCTTCTTCGATTTGTCCTAATTCTTTATAACATTTTGCTAACCTTACATATGCTACAGAATGTAATGTTGAATTTCCTGGTGCTAATTCTTCATCTATAGGCATATTCGGAAAACTTAAAAGTTTTTCGGCTTTTATAATAAAAATTTATTTATTAAAAAAAAATAATTAAATGTCGAAACGACAACAATTAATAGTAATAATAATAATAAGGTACCATCTTTTTTTGCTATTTCATATTTTTTAAGCTGGATTAAACTAAAGAAAAAAAAAAAAAAAAAAAAATTAATCATTAGACCATTCGGGCATTTAAATACCGCTCTCATGTACACATACCAAGTACATCTACTTAATAGTGGTAAAGGTGCATCAGGTATTTTTACCACAAGGTAATCGAAAATTTTTACAGCTTCATCTAGTTTATTACTCGCTATCAATTGCGAAGCTTTTTGTACAAGTTCTCGTCCACCAAGACGTTCCATTTTAAAATTTGCGAGAAAATGGTTCAGTAATTTATTGAATTTATTCGAAGTATCGCAATAAATGTCGTTCTACCCCACCGCGTGATCAACGAATGAAAATTTGTATTACATAAATCCAATGACGCGAAAAAAAATTAAAATATTGTCACAGGATTTTTTCGATCATATGGTAAAATTCTTATTAAGTTGAAATCTTGATACCTTTAATTCTTTGATAAACACATCAGTTTGTTCTTTATTACCCTTCAATATATATCACGCATAATTTTCATTTTAACTCACTGATTGTCTAGCTGTCGTTTTTCCATTGTCTTTCTCAACTTTTGGTCATTTTAGGTTAACCAATTCGCGATATTATGATTAAAGAAAATACTTACAATATGCCTTATAATAAATCTAGAAATAATTCTTATCTTGAACTCGCAAATATACTGTATACTATGATATTGTCGTAATCGTAAAAAGAAACTATATTATTTAAATTCAAAGTTCATTGAGAGCATAATAAATCTCATGCATATTGCCAAAACGTTGATTGTATTCTAATTCTCAAAATCAGATTTCAGTTATTCAAAAAACTTTTTCTTTTTAAAAAAAAAACCATACTATACAGGTACAAGTATGGATGAAAAAAACCATACATACCTTACATACATTAAAAAACGAACCATACAATACATACATTCTATACAGGTTTGTGTAATACCCGAACGGAGCTATGGTAGAGAATTCTAACATTCTAACTGTTTAGCGTTGGTACATTCAAGTAAATCTGAGAATATTGCCCCTGGAGGTACTATATTAGGAGAATAGAATTAAAAGGGGTAGTCGTCGATCATCTTTTATGGTGTGTATGTATAGTATGATTAATATGTATATATTGATATGATTTTCATAACAAATAATTCATATTGTATGGTTTCTAATTAATACTATCCATGTATGGAAACAAACCATACTATATATACTTTATACAGGTTCTTTTTTTATCAATTGAATTTTAATTAACAATAAACCTTACATTTTTTTTTTATTTTATAAAAAAAAAAGATTTCTTGATTGAAATATAAAAATAAAGTTATATAGTATAAAATTGTATTATTTATTATAATTGATTATAATGATTTTTTAATTGATAAATCTGATATGATGTAATATTATTTAAATTATTTAAGATATAAAATTCTGAAAAGTATTGGTCAATGATTATTTCGTACGTAGCTACACACGTCACATTAAAATATTGTAATGGTTAAAGATAATAAATCATCAACCACGAAAAACGTTAAATTTTATAAATTTTATTTATCCAATAAAAACGTGATATCGATAATCATTGCATGACTTTTGGTGGTAATAAATATATTACTGCATATGTCTAGTATAAGGCTTCACTGTCGATCTTGTCTTATGAACTTTTGTTGACCCGCTTATTATATGTGCCGTCATATTTCATATTTCTTACCATTATTAAAAACATTCCCCAAACAAATTTTTTTTTTTTTTTTTTTTTAAAAAAAAAAATTTTTTTTTTTTACCTCTTTCCTTAACTTACCTATGGCCGAAAGTATAATCTATGAAGATACTCCTTTTGCCGATTATCTTGCCGGTATGAAAAGTTCTTTATTATCAGTAACTATCTTAGATCTTTCTAATGAATAGCTTTATTATAGAAATCGGTAGCAAAGAAGAGTTAGAAAAACAACCCGAGTTGTTTGAACTTGAAAGGCAGTTTTCACAGCACAGCGAGGTTCAAATGACGTTTTTCACGGAGCTTACATATAATATTATCGAGTATTTCAAGGTATATTTTTCATGATTTCTAAATCTTTTATATATCAATATGAATATTTTCTTAAAATCAAATCTTTCTTACATATGTAGGAAGCATTCTCAACGGCTCTTCCGATACAAGAAGAAAACCAGTTCGAAGAGCGCTTTAAATATTTATTATGCACATCACACCTTTTAAACGATACATTGTCAATTTACTTTTATGACAGCAAAAAACCCAGCATAGTAGAACTTAGAGAAGCTGGTTTATATGCCGGTGGACTTTCGCGAAGGAATTTTGAAGTTCTTTTCAGTGCAGTGATTGGATTAACGATTGTATTCTTGACATGGTTAATTCATGATGTAGAAGCCAAAGATCTAAAAACAACAATGATTCGTTTACCTGCTGCGTTCCTATTGGCTATGTTTGCTTCCTTTTTCTTATATCGTCGTATGGTAACTATGATTGATTAAATTTTTTTTTTTTTTAACAAAACATAATCATCATATTTAATTGTTATTATTATTTTTATTTTTTATTTCTTAATTGAAATTTAGCGACGAAAAGCTGTCAAGACATTATATAACTCCGCATTACATTACATGGAAGCACTCGTGTACAATTGTCAAGCTCTCGATTTAAAAATGAATAAAGCGTTGATTATGATTCAAGAGATCGAGCTAGTGTCTCGTGGTTATAGATTGTATCCTTTTTTATGATATTAGTTGATTAAATGATATGTTGGTATATATTATATTATTTTCTTAACCTTAACTTTGCTGATATGTCAGATCAATGCCATTGTCTCCGATATCTCGTATAGAACAAAATTCTAAGAATCGACGTTGTCTTGCGCTTCGGGAGACTGTATATAATATTCTTCAAGAAGCTTTTTTAACTTATCGTAACGCTATAGTAGTTATGCAGCCAGAAATTTCAAAACATAATTTGAATATTATGTATAACATGTATAATATCATTCCAAGTAATGAGGATGATGAGTGGATTATGGAAGAAGAAAATGATATGCATTCTTTGGAAATTTTGAAATTGTGTTTTCAGAAAATGCATGCAAAACGTAGGGAGTGTCTGTGTCATTTCCTTGCGTTAGATGTAATGACACCGGGAAGAGATTCACATCGTAGAGATTATGAAAGTCATTGGGCGGCAGTTAATAATCACTTAAATAATTTGAGCATAGTCACCGGACTTTTCTTGGAAAGAGTTATTGTTGCTTCTGCTAGTGAATTATGTATGTATATTAAAAAAAAGATTAATTTGTTAATTTGAATACTTTTGTTGATCAATTAAAACGCTTTATGGTTTTCTAGATTCCATTCCGTCACCTAAACAAGATTTTATGTCCCAACCATCTCCCGCAATTATCACTAATAAATCTCTCAAGTCTTATCTTCATCGCCTTGCATGTGTAGAGCAACATATTCGTGGCGTTCAAGCCAAATTATACATTTGTAATGAAGATGCTCGTAAATTTTATGAAGCAAAAGGTGAATATCAATATATATATATACATATATATTATCGTAAACGGATAACCTAATTTATATTGTATATATAGACACGACCGTTGAAAATGAAAAGGAACGTCTATTAAATCAATACGAATCCATAAGTAATGATTTTAAGTTTATGTTTCAAGAATGGGAAGAAGGAAAGAAAGTGTTGAAGGAGATGATGGATCCAACACCGACAGACTCTGATTCTCTTGGGTCACGACAGTCTCTAATTGAAGATCTTGAACCCCCAAGAGATTCGAGTGAAGATGTAGGAAATAAGTCTGAAACGCCTCTCATTGATTGGACACAGGCCGATGAACCATTGGACGTACCAGCACAAGTATTTGAAGCAGAGGCTGAACCAGAAGTCATAATAAAGGTAAGGAATAAATAAATAACTATAGTATTTCTTTCATCTATTCATTAATACTTTGCTTATTTCTTTTAGAGATTAACGAGAGAAGAAAGGATCGCAATTCAAAAAACCAAGAGATTACAAGAGGTACGAGTTAAATATATTTAATTATTCTTATTTGTAATTACTCTAATTAATTCTATATTAGTCAAAGGTAAGATCCGCACGTCAGGACACCGAACGTATGGTACATGAGTTGAAAGATGTATTAGTACGGCGGAAGCCTAGGAATTATCAAAGTGAAACGCTAAACACTTTAGAAGATTCCGAACGGATACAGTTGCACGGTTCCCGTGTTGTTATGTAACAAGCTAGAATGTTTTACACTCTATTTTTAATTTATCAAAACATGTTTTGTAAATCTTTACAACTCAAAATTAGTATCATCTCATAGACATTTAATTTTGAACAGTATATTATTTCTACTCATAATTGTTGATTATTATAATTCACCCAGAAAACATCACTTAATTTTAATCCATCCATTTCATTGTATAATATATTATATGTAATGTAAACATGAGATTTTTTTTTTTTTTTTTTTTTTTTTTTGCAATACAAAATTAATATTAATACTTAACTGTGAAATGACATATGGTATAAGAATTTATTAACCACAAAAAAAAAAAAAAAAAAAAAAAAAAAAATCTTCAGCAACCCAAAAAAAAAAAGTTGTTTGTACTAGGTTTAATTAGACAAAGATAAAGAAATAATTCTTTTTACTTAAAATAATAAAAATCACAAAATCTTTAAAAATGATTTATTGGGAAATGATGTTATTATGGCTTATAATTAAGTTAGGTTTTTGATCATACTGTGAGGTAGGTATTAATTTATTTTTTAAAATTTGGGATTCTAATACAAGTGCAACTATATTTGTTTGTGTGTAAATTAATAATAATGTATAAGAAAAGGAAAAAAGAACCATGATTTTGTAATGCCTACTTGTTTTCGGAATCGGTTTATTTTGATCACTGTAGATACGTTGACATTTAGCCAAGTATTTATCATAATAACTTGATAAAAAAAGAATAAAGAACGTTTAAATTAATAAATTGATGATTAAAAAGGTTAATATATTAAAGATTATACATGTAAAAGTACCCCTTGCCATGTCCTAATCTATTTCCTTGCAAGTCAAATGCTAAACCTAAAAATCATTATGAATAAAAAAAAAAATAACCAATAAATATCAGAACCCAATTGAACGTTTGATAATGATTTACCTGGCATTATTATTAAATCCAATTCGTTTGCTATATGACGAATTAAATATTAATAGAACAAGTTAAAAATATATATATATATTTTTTTATTTATTTATTTTACCTATTTCTCTTAATTCATCATGATTTGGTTCAGGTATATTCCAACGATTTACAGGTAATGATAAATAATCTTTATAAGAATGAAGTTTAACCATGTCCATTTCATCATTATTCCATCTTGGCACATAACATATTTTCCCTATTTAGTAACATCAATTTTCTCTTTAAAAAAAAAAACTATACATATATATATACATTTTTTTGAATGGAAAAGTAAACAGATAATATATGCCTTGTTCAAAGATATCTTTAATGATTTTTTCAGTGGAAATTTCGGCTTTTGGCATACTAATATATATACTAATATGTTTACTTGTTATATATTCTTTTGAGTTAATAAGTTTTTCCGTTACAATTTTACCTAATTAAAATTTTTTTTTTTTTAAAAAAAAATCAATCGAATTTCTTTTAAAGGCTTTTTATTTAATATAATTTTGAATAATGCATTACTTTCTTGTTCAATTACTTCTAACGGAATTTGATTTAATGATGTACGCATTTCTTTTCTTAAGACATTCTTTAAAGCTCTTATAGATTGACTCATATTGTAAAAAAGATTTATTAGTGAGAAATAATAAATTTTCGAATTTGATCAAATAAAAAAAGATCGCATATTTAACAGTAAATTTGGTTAAATCACGTGGTTGTTAAATAGTGCTGGTAGCGGCTAATTCAGCATTTCTTTTCTCTCTCTCTTTCTTAATCAAACCACCAATTTGAAAAGCTTTACCAGGTTGATCTCTCAAGTAATATAGTTTAGCTCTTCTAAAACCCTCTCCTCTTGCCAAAATTTTGATAGACTTAATTAAGGGTGAATTGATAAAAAATTTTTGTTCCACTCCAACTTTTAATATGATATTTCTTAAGGTGAAATTAGTATCAACCCCCTTTCTTTTAATGCATATGCAAACTCCCGCAAAAGCCGTTGTACCACTTTTAGAGGAAGAACCGGTACTTGTAGTAGAGGAGTTTTTGACGGAGGACATTGAGGTATACATTTCTACTAGTAACACGTCACCGGCTTGAATTCTGTCTTTACCATGTTTTGCGAACATTTGAAACCTATCGGGGGTTTTAGATTGTGTTTCAAGTATTATTACTTTCATTACATCTTTATGATTTGTTATTATTGGATTTGAATATTGTGGTGTTGGGATTAAAATTGATTCTGGTGGTTTATATGTTGCTTTTTATTTTATATATATATTATAAAGGATAAAAAAGTTAATCATAACGACAATGTCACAACAATTCAAAAAAGAATTTGATGATCAAAATTGTACCTTGCGCATTATTTGTTAATTGTCGAATATTGTTCAATGAAGAAATTGAAAGTTTATTAAAATCTTTTAATAAAAAATTTCGTAACCTAAACATCTTTACATTTTTTTTTTTTTTTTTCGATTTTTTTTTTTATGCGGATCCGTCACGTCCCGTACTATGTAAGTCACATGAATTCGGATTATCAAGAATTTTTTTTTTTTTACGATAAATTTTTTTTTAAAAAAAAAAAAAAGCGTCCGACTTTATTGTAACTAGCTTATAAATGTTGGAGTTCGATCTTCTCTTAACTTAATTAAAGCATCAATCTTTAAAACAAACGAATTTCTTTGGACTTTTTTGATGGCAATTTTTTTGACCGCATTTGATCATAGTGGGAACATCGAAATGGGCGAATTGTTTTAATATATTCTCGAATTTCAAAGAAAAATGTTTTTTGCAAAAAAAGAACTTTTGCATGACAAGTTTTTTACTTGAAGTATTATTACTAGAAGAATTCTATCACGTCGAAGTACTGGGAAACTTCACAGTAAAAAAAATTATCATGTCATATGACATAAAAGTGATCGGCAGTGCACTTGCCCAAATCATATTGTAAGATTTCTGATTGATAAAATTCTTAATTTTTTTTACACGCGTTTATATCAATCATTACTGTAAATTCTCTAAATATAGGCAATCTTTTATTTTTTTTTTTTTTGGTAGGAGGAGCAAAGAAAAAGGATTCTAGTTTTAAACTAAAGAGTTAATAAACGATGTTTTCTCAAACTCGAATTCCTTCAATTGATTTACAGATAACACGTTTTCGCTTAATTAAATACCTTCATAATTCAATACGATATCAAACAACTCAATATTTTACTTTTCGAAAGTATGAAACGAGAAAAGATAAATTTATTCGAAGTACATCAGGAACTTTTGGTATAATGCCATTAAAGTAGAATTCGGTTTCTTTTTATATCCATAGCGGTATCTAATTTTTTTAAATGTTTCTCATGTTCAACTTTTCTTAGCTTCATCATATTCGGCTGGAACAACGACTCAACAAATTTCGAATTCATCCATAATTCCATATCAATTACATATGCAATCATCAGCGTTTCAAACGGTTCAAGTACAAATATACCTTGATCGTATGAAGTATTACCTCGATATAAATAATCTCGAAGCAATCACCAAAGATTTCATTGATTTAAAACAAAAGAACATTTCACCAACGCTAGAAATTTATCATGTCCTTCTCCAAATGTGTTATAAAGCATCGGATTTAAATAGTGCTTTAGAAATATTCGCACAAATATATAATGATATGACAAAATCTTCTGTTACACCTACAACAGAGACTTTTAAGTACCTTTTAGACGTTGTTGAAGCATCATCGGATCATGACCTCTCATTATATACGGTCAATTCTATTGTAAATTATCAAATTCCATGCATTAAATCAAATGCAAAGGTTATTGGTAAATTGCGAAAAAGGTTGGATGTAAAATTTGATTTGAATACGTGGAATTCTATTTTTCGTTCGTTAACGACTTCACATAAATTATATTCAACAAACGATCTATACTATTTTGAGAAAGTAAAAGGATTAGCTGAAAATTTTTTAGATTCTAATCCAGATCATCATAATTTCACAGAGGAAACTTGGCGGCTAGTTATCCGAGTAAGTTCGAGTTCAATTCCCTTTTTCTTTTTTTTTGACTTCACAAATTCACTCACTTTTTTTTTTTACCTTTACATTAGACTTTAGGGGCGTATCCCGGAGATTGTAAAACATTCAATAAAATATTACAAAAGTTTAAATCACAAATTGTAATGACCCCGTCAATTTCTTCTGAACTTATTTGGGCATTATCAAGAAAATCTTCAATAGATCTTGCAATTGAAAATCTAGATGAATTAATCTCTCAATTCAATTACATACCTTCTAGAGAACCTCTTTATGTCTTGTTATCTTATTACGCCGATTTAGGAAAATATCAAAAAATAAAATATTTAATAGACAAGTATTCTAAATATATTACTATCCATGAACAAGTTCAACCATCAACATTTTCGCAACAAAACTGGCAATTCAATTTTTCTACAGTTTTAATGAAGGCGTATGTTCAAGCTTTACGTGAGGAAGTTTCTTTTCGTAATAAAAATCTTGAGGAACACAATTATTTGATGGTAGAATTCATGGAATCAAAGGAAACGAATGACAGAAATGATGGACTGGATTATTTAACGAGTGATAATTTTAAAAAGAGTTCGTTTTATAATTCTTGGATAAAATTATTAAATGAAGTAAAATTATCAAATTCAAAATATCATAAAGATCATTTTGAATTAATGATTAGATTTCATATACTATCAAATCAAATCAATCATCAAGAATTCCCTTTAAATGAAGCATTAAATTTGATTAATGAGATGAGAGGTGATGGAGTTGAACCAACTTTCGAGACATTTAAAATTTTATTGGAAGGTCATGCTGATTCACCGGAATTTAATTCAAATGAACCAAATTTAATACGAGTGAAAAATTCATTAAAAATATATTCTATAATGGAATCTTCTGGATATGATATGAATAACATAGAGATATATCAACCTTTATTAGATTCATGTATAACACAAAATGAACGATTGATAAACAAAAATTTTAAACTTTTAAGGTTAAAAATTAAAGGAAAAATCAATCATATAAAAGACTTGATGAAAATTCATAAGGTAAAACATAATCAAAAATCAATGTTAACCCTTCTAGAATTATATGGTTCCATTCACTCTTTTAGTGAAATGAGACGTGTTTGGTTTGAAATATTTTTATCAGGATATCATCGTAATTTAAATTTTTACAAAATATTTATAAAAGCTTCTTCACAAAACGTTCGTGAATCAATTTATTGTTTAGACGTTTTAAGACATCAAATGTCAAAAGAGAACCCTCTTGTATATCCTGATTTAGAAACTTTTGATTTATTATTAAAATGTTGTATTAAATCTAATGATTTAATTACAATGGAACAAATTATTAATGAGATGAAACAATATTTTCCTTCTCCTTCAAAAGAAGAAAATTGGTTAATACCAATATTATATACTTATTTAAACACCCCAGAATTAGTTTATAAAGGAAAGAATGTTGTTAAACACTTTTTTAAATGTAAAGAATTAATTAATTTCGATTTTTGGAAAATCGTATTACAATATTTTACTGAAAATGAAAAAGAATCAAATACTACTCAAAAATTTTTTGATTTATATGTAGATTGGAGCAACGAACATCTTCATAATTTTAAAAGTAATTCCACTCAAATTGATGATGATTTCCAAACACAACAATCATCTTCAAAAGGGCCTATTTTAAAATTTCCAAATTCCCCCCTTTTAAACCTAGATTTAGAAATAATTTATTTGTACCTAAAATATCACATACGTACATCATCTTTTCTTCAAACAAAAAACATTTTTGATAAATTATTTTCTTACTATCCTAACAATGCACTTTTAATTTTTAATAATATTGATTTATTAAAAGAATTTGCTTTTCTTTCTCTAAAACACCAACAATTTGAAATCCTAGATTGGTTTGATAAATTTGTATTAAGTAGAATTAAAGTGAATTTGAAGGATATGGATGATTATAGAATATTACGTAATTGGGTGATCAATAATTTAAAACAATGTGATGGAAAAAACAATAAAGAAATCTCAATAGAAGTTAAAGTACCTGAATTTGTGGATATGAAATGGTTAGAAAGATATGAAGATTTGGATGTCAATTAGATATAAAACTTTAACTATGGTTAAATACAAAATCATAAATTAATTAAACAAAAAAAAAAAAATCGGCAATTCTTTTTTTTTTTTTTAAAGGAATTTAAAATTATTTACCTTTGAATTCTTAAATGTTCTATCTTAGTTTAATCTGTGTAATAATTATTTAACCTTTAACTTCACCTTCGTTAACTTCGCTAGGACGTAACGCGATAAAACCTCTGGTCATTAAATTAAACATACTTCCAAAGAAAAGTGCAATGACCGTACATGTTAATGTTATAACATTGTAAGGCATGCTGAAATCTGGTGTAGGGAGACTAACAAGAAGTGTTTCTGTATATACACGGATAGGGAAATGATGGCATGCCGTCTTTGACATGTTATCGGAGCAATTTCTATATATAAAAGATTTCATTTTACAACGATTCCACGAGAATAACTTAAATGACATTATTTGACATGTTAATATACCTTGTTGCTCTTTCGTCCAAATATTTGAAGCCATCAACAGATTCAACTTTAGTGGATATTACTGCAGAACCAATGTCAAAACCACGGTTCGCATCCGGTGGATGTTCGGTATATTTTAAAAATACTTTGTCAAAATTAATCGAAAGAGTTGTTATGGAATTAGGTGGCAATGATAATTCTGCTTCAATAACATTCGGACGTGAACGATCCACAGCCGGCTGATAATACAAATCCTTTATTGGATTATCTGTTTAATAAAAAAAAAATCATGTGTGTGTACATATATTATTTAGTTTTAAAATTAGTAGATCACCCATAACAATATAAAATAATGAATTTCAATACATTGTGCTTCCACTCCATTTATTTTGACTTTTAGCGTATGAAGATATAATTTCAAGAACCATGGAATAACGTCAAAATATATTATTGGGACAGTGATATTAGAACTTTTGTTAAATATATTGATTTTAATTCCGCCTCTTTCTTGGCCATAACCTTCAAATGTTAAGATAGAAATTAGCTAAATTTGTTAATATTATTAGAATAAACTACAATGAATTACCCGTAAAAAAACGATGTGCATAAACGCGCGGTTGTTCGAAATTAAGATCTAAAAATCAATAAATAAAAAATCACTTATGATAAAAAAAAAAAGATTTTTAAATAAAAAAAAATTAAAAAATGGTTTTCCTTACTGTATTCGAACAAATCTTCTTTCCATGTCATCGAAACATCTGTTTTTGATTGTACTGTAAAGGGCAATGAATTAATATATAATTTTTTTTTTGTAGTCGAGCAAAAAAATATCATTACTTACCATTTTTGAGATAAAACACAGCTTTACTCGTGTCACCTTCAGTTTTCTGAATGACGTCATCCGCGTCAGGACTTAATTTATAATCACCATCTTCGGGTAAATTTATTTCTAACTTGCTTTCTTCAGCTAAAGGACAAGCTTGTGAAAGACTTCTTCCAAAAATCTGGTTCAAACTCCAATCTTAAAGAAAAATATTAAAACAAATAAGATTCATTTAGAGTAATATCAGTAACAAAAATATTTATTTAATTGATCAAAATTATAAACAAACCTCTTTTTCCTGAATTCCTTACAGGATCTACGACAGTGGACACAGTCTGAACGATTTCTAACTGTTTTCTCAAACATTCCGAATTCTAATTACGAAATATTATTAAAACTGATGATATTTTTTAACAAATTAAATTATCTTTGTCATTACCTCACATACTGGCCGTACGTGAATGGACATCGAATGAAAATTAGAATCATATAATTTGTGTCCATTCAAAAGAGATGCTATTCCGGACTGGTTTTATCGATAGTAAGAAATTTTCTCCAGTTTAATTTAAATAATTAAAAATTTCTCAAATATTAAACTTACATTCGATTTACAAGGAAGAAGTTTAATCCATGGTGTCAAATTTTCAGTACAAACATTTTCATGAGGTAAGGATCCGTATCTGAGTTCAGCATCTGTCGACAACTCCGTAGCTACAATAAGTAATATTTATTTGATTTGATTTTCAATGAACTTTTTTTTTAAGAATATTTCCATATGGAAAGTGTAACAAACAATGATTTGATCCGTACCGTTATACGGCCCTTCCGGTCGAAACGATAATTTTGGCTGAACGGTAATCGTATCATCTATAAAATTTAACGAAGCACAAAAAAGTCCGGCAAGAGCGTTTGTCAATGACTTCCAATTTTCATCTAGCCTAATGAATAATATACTATTATTACAATTATAAAGAAAGATTATTTTAGAAAGGAGATTACGTACTTTCCATCCTTCCATAGCCATGCCCAAAGTTCTACTCCAATTCCTGCTGATGGAACAATGGGATAACCCCAGTCTTCATAATTCCATCGTCCTTGTGTAAATGTCAAGTGCAACTCACGCGCATTATAACTCTGAATTATTTGTCCTATCGCACGCGGAAAGAACTTATAATGGTTGACTAAAAAATTTAAGGCAAATATTAGAATCCACAAATATATAACGATAAAATTGACTTACATACAAGCTTTGCCTTCCTCAATTCCTCCAATTCTAACGTTGAATTGAAAATGGGTTAATAACTTTCCGTCTGAAAGCGATTTAATCGTAAGTGATTCTTTAAAATTATCATTTTGAATATTCTCAGCAAAGGTCAAATTGACCATTGACACTATAAAAATAAAGAATAGAAACAAGCGCCACATTGTTAACTATTAAAAGTTTTCGTTTTCGATAAATTGCTGGTTCAATTAATTTTATCATGCAGAAATTAACGTGATTACAGCAAATCAGCAAATCATATGCGCGCATTTTCAGTCCAAATCAAAACTGTATTACATGATCATCCAATGTAATACCATTCAGAAAACCATCAAAACTTGGAAGTTAAAGTAACATGACAATTTCGCAAAAATAATTTTGAAGTTATAATAATATGGCTTGTCTCTTATTAGTAAATGAAAATTGTATAATGTATATTAAAATGATTTCTAATAAAAAAAAATATCTTTTTATAAATGTAAAGACGTGTCGGATATCGTAAAATAAAACAAAAATTTAAAAATATCGTGATCATCATGTGATTTCAAAAATGCGCAGATATGAAACGAACTCGTGACCACCACCATCACGTTTACGTTATTACAATACCGCAGTGATAAATATGCGTATCGTTTGGATGCGATTTTACCTCCCAAAGATCTTTACCAAGATCAATATATTGTAGCCATAATTTGATATCACCTTAATATTTAGTTACTGCCCTGTCAAAGATAAAATATATTCTTCGTTTTATTGAATAATCAGATATTGTGACTTTTCTCTTGACACCTATTATTTTATTCATTATAATTAATTTTATTATAATTACATTTAAATTAATGCATCAAAGATAGTACTTACCTAATCGCTCTTTACTTTAAAAAATCGATGACCTGTGCCGGCCTTCTCTTAAGTGCATATTCAAATGCTGTTCGTTCCTTTATAACCGACTTTATTTCTTCCTAAAAAAAAAAAAATTTTAAACAGTGGTATAATTGTTTTAAACATTTGATGAGCTAAGAATAAAAGAATTTTTCTGGTTGGATTAATTCCAACATTGATTAATAATGCGAATACTATTCTCAAGTATAATGCGGGATTTCCCAAGAAAAAAGTTCGACAAACTTGCAATTCACTATAGAACGCAATTATTTAGTTGACTGTGGGATATTAAAGATGAAATTAAATTTGAATTAGTTTTCCAGATTTCTTCGTATGATAAAAGCTCAGTTGTTGGCTAGAAGTGATCTAAATTATATGTTAACAAGAAATAACGAGGACATTTTTATAATAACATTAACGACTAGAAAGTTACTAGACTTTTATGAATCATAGTGATATGGCCATTTGGCTTTCATATTGTATGGATAACGAGATAAAAAAAAAAATTAAAATACGACCGGTTATAAAGAAAAAAATACAGATTATTTATTTGATAAAGAATAAATAATAATTTGAAACATAAATGAAACTACAATTTAATATAAAAACAGCTGGTTCACGTATTCGAATATTTCTTGGAAACGTTATATTAGGACAAAATACGATCCAACTGTATTACTGTAAGAACTTAATTTTTGAGCCAATTAGCTAAAATGTTAGAAGTTTCCGAATACCATTTTTTACATCGAATTGGCCAAATACTACTACTGATTCAAAATTAAACAAATTAAATTTCTGCTGATTCTTGACTCAAACACCTTTCCAGAAACCGTATACGTTTACTTACCAGGACGACCGGGTTTATATGAGATAGAGAATTCCGCGAGATAATGGCCGATCATTTCAGGCTAGCGCGTTCAAAGAAAATAAAAATTTCAATGAATTAAAAAATAAAAAAAAAATGAAAAACTGTTCTTTAAGTAAATTTTCAATTTGATTAAAAGTTTTTCCATTATAAACACCAATAACCGAACCAATCATTTCAGGCACAGGTCATCGATTTTTTAAAGTAAAGAGCGATTAGGTAAGTACTATCTTTGATGCATTAATTTAAATGTAATT